AGAGCCCAGCAGGTCGAGGCTGCGGTGGCCAGGAGCGGCCACTGCACTCCAGTCTGGGTGACTGAGTGAGACTCCAACTCAAAAAAAAATAAATAAATAACAAATAAAGTAGGGGTGAAACGATGAGAGGAAACTGGAATAAGCAGATGCCAGCTAGGGGTCATTTAGGTTAAGAATTTAGTACTTAATCAAGAGAAAGTCAGAAGCCACTGATGCTTTAATTCAGGTGAGTGATAGCAGATTTACATTCTCAATTCTTAGTGTGGAATAATTTGAGGACGGAGGACTGGAAGTAGGAAAACATGAGGGAGTTCTTGGAATAAACCTGTTGAGAAAATAGCCCACTCTAGTATGCCAGCAGTGGGTATGGGGAGAGTGGGCATACAAGATGTAATTAGAAAGTGGTATACATTTAAGGAAGGGTAGAAAATACTAGGATACATATAAAGAGATTTCTTTACTGTAGTATTTGTCAGAAACTTTACGGTGCTGTTGAATCTCTTAGAAAAAGTCACAATAAACACAATGTCTTCTAGACATTTGATTACAGAATCATTATTTTGCATAATACCGAGACTAATATTTAATGGGAAACATTCTGGGAGAAACTGCTCTCCCAGAGATAAATCTCTTCTTTCTATTCTTGTAGTTCACAGTAGACGTTGAGCATCCCAAATCTGAAGTGCCCCAAAACCTGAAATGTTTTGAGCATCTATGAGACAAAGGAAATGCTCATTGGAGAATTCCAGATTTGGGATGCTCAACTGATAAATATAATGCAAATATTTCAAAATGCAGCAAAATTTGAAGCACTTCCCCATCAGAATACTCGATCTGTACTTAGGTGAGTTCTCACCAACTATATTCAACTCTTTGAGGTTGTCTTGTTCTGTCCCCTTACAGAGTTCGCGCAGTATTTAGTTTGGTTACTTTCAACTGGGTGAAATTGAAGTGAAAAAGATTCACTGGAACTTCACAAGGTTCCCTCAAAAAGCCACTGAAAAAGGAAGATTATTCTGAATCAGGGTCACCTGTGAACCAATATGAAAGGATCTGACTCACAAGTAAGTTATAATAAAGCAGTATTAATCTTAACATCTCAAACTTACTACCTTTCCATAGAGATACCTGGAAACAACAGGCTCATGAGAAACAAATCCTATTAAAAATCACTTACGCAAACAAATCTTAACTCTATGCTGCGTAAATAGCTCCATTTACCCTAGATACAGAAAAACTGAATGCATGCAGAAGCAGAAAATCTGACTGTACATAAACTCCTAGAGACCAGGGAGGGTAACTGAATTAGCTAACCGTGCTCCAAATATAATTCAGTGGCAAAGGAAATGCTCATTAGAGCATTCCAGACTTGGGATGCTCAACTGATAGGCATAATGCAAATATAAACATTCTAAAATTTTAGAATGAAATAGTATCTGTAGACTTGTATGTTCAACTGAGAATCTGATTCTGAAATATCAGGTTCCATATGTACAGAAAATATTTCAGGATGCTCCAAATTAAGCTGACATTCTTAATACCAAACAAGCATTGACTAAAATTATGTTGGTATTTTTGCATACAATGTCTCTAAAGTTTGTGATGTCAAAAAGATAAGACACATCTCTCCTTTTATGTTAATATATTAAAAAGCAACATAGTACAAATGATGTGGTATTAAAAGGATCCATATTTTAAGGAATTTTTATAAACAATTCCGCAATTAAAAGGAAACAGTATCTTGATACATAAAACTCTTGTTAAACAAGATTTTTAAAAATTTAAATCAGGAAATGTTAAGATTAAATTTTCAAAGGTTCAAACAAAAAAGCAACCTGTACAATCACCGTAAAATGGGTTCTTGTACGCATGTCCTGGGCACTTTAAAGACGTTAAAATTTTCAACATTTTTAAAGTTTACAGAAGCAGCACCTCAAGGTATCATGAATCTTTTTTCCAAAAAGTATACTTTCAGTAAAACATTTTACCATTTTACCTTACCATACACTGACATTTCTGTTCTTCCTAAAAAAGGTGATTTACACTAACACTGTATTTTTAAGGTAAAAATATACATGTAGAGATATTTAACTTCCTGAGTGACTTTAGTCATACATTAAACATGATTTAATGAACAAATTCTAAGATTTTAGAATGAGATAGTATGTGTAGATCTACACTTGTATCTTCAACTATGGTAAAATTCAAGAGCATGTCCCAGAATTTATACTTAAATTCTAAGTTAAGCAATGATTGAGCTCCACTTTATCAATAAGCTTTCTCAAGGAGAATGTTAGTAAGATGAATCACTGGAAAGTTGTATTTTCTAATTTAACAAAATATCAATACCCACTTTAGACTGCCAATGTGGATGTTTCCTATTATCTATACCAGAATCCGTTTCACTAACAAGAAATTTCTTGCAATACAAAAATATAACAAATAATTAAAATATTTGCTTTATCAGACAGCCAATTTATAAATTTACCCCTCCCTAAAGTGTCTAAAATGATTAGGAATTGTGGCATTTTCTTCTGCATAAAACCCTTTCCTCTTCAAAAAACCCTGAGGTGAAAGGTTATCAATGAAAACTGGAACCACAATTCTTCTCATTCTTGTATTAAATTGTAGGTATTGGTCTTATAAAACTTACAAAGAAATACAGCAACTTGTGAAGCTGCTCTGTACAGTCTTTCAACAAAATAGCCCCAGACCAACTTAGTCAAAGGGCCTAAAATGACCCTATAAAGACGATGTTCTTCTCACACTTGCTAGTGTCGAGATGAGCGCCATTTTCCATCTCTACTACTGTCTCTTCTGTTATCATAGTCATGGCTCCAGTCATTGTGATTCCTATCTTCATAGAAGAAATCATCTCTGCTTCCTCTGTAATGATGGTCAGACCCATGATCAGAGTAACGCTGTTCCCTGCTATAATGTCTATCACTTAGGTAGGGATGAGAACTCAGCCTGGCTTTGCGCTGTGATGATGGGGCATCTTGGCGCCACTGAGAGCTTGACGACTGGCTAAAAGAATGAGTGTGTGATTGAACTGACGGTGAAAATCCAGATTGATCCATGGGTGAAGAACTGTGATTTCCACCATATGACATCTGTCTCAAAACACTGTTCATCTGAGGGAAAGAAAGAAAGAAATATTAACACTTCTGTTTTTATTTCACTTTTATATTTTCATTTTGCAGACCTGTGAAAAAGAAAAGGCTGGTGACCACAAACCAAGGTCGTGATTTGGGACCCAAGTAGCTACCAATAGCTTCCAAATTGAATGACTGATAACCAAATATGGAACAGTAAAAGACAGCTAACATATGAAGCTTATTCTCATGGTGGTATTATTGCAAAATAAATAAATAAATACATAATGATCAAGAAGGAACTGTGCTAAGACTTCAGTAAATTAAAAAGAGTTTATTATGATAAGAAGTCACTCAGGATAGGCTGCAAGAACATCAGAAAATGAATCTCCAGTATTTGTATATACACATCATAACACATCAATGATGGTTGACAGAAACACAAATGTAAAAGCAGTTTTACTTCTATTTATCTTCAGTCTTTAAAGTACATATTTCAACCTAGTGAAAACAAAAATGAAGGCCAGGCATGGTAGCTCACGCCTGTAATCCCAACACTTTGGGAGGCTGAGGTGGGAGGATTGCTTGAGCTCAGGAGTCCAAGACCTTATCTCAAAACAAACTAAATAAATAAAAAATACACTTAAAAAATAAAATAAAATGCTCAATCTACAAAGATCATGCAAGACTAACAAAAATCTGAGAAAAAGTAGCTGGGCATAGTGCCTCACACCTATAATCTTAGCACTTTGGGAGGCTGACACAGGAGGATAGCTTGAGGCCAGTAATTTGAGAACAGCCGGCAACAAAGCAAAACCCTGTATCTACAAAAAACAGATAAATTAGCTAGGCATCATGGTGTGCAAGGTAGTCCCAGCTACTTGGGAGGCAGAAGTAGGAGGACTGCTTGAGGCCAGGAGTTTGAGGCTGTGGCAAGCCATCATGCCACTACACTTCAGCCTGTATGACAGAGTGAAACCCTGTCCCCACCCCTCAAAATAAGAAAAAGAAAATCCTGTCCCCACCCCCTCAAAAAAGAGAAAGGTTATTTTATACCTTAAGGATTTAACAAATAAAACATTCAAGTTAACAAAGTTTATCGAATCAGTTATCTGATGTAACACCAACATTTTACAAAGTATAAGCAACTCAAGTTAAAAAAAAAAATCAGCTTACCACTGCTTGTCTCTGAAAATTTTCTGGAGAAGAGAAAGATCTTTGAATTATCTGTGCTGATGGAGTCATGTTATCCACGGTCCTCATGTTATCCACGGTCCTTTCATACCTGCTAAAATTAAAACCAAAATACAATCATTCATTCAACAGATATTTACAAAGTAACAGCCAAGAACAAGAAAGGGTTCTCAAAATGGGAATGAAAAGACAGAGCTAAGGTAAAAATATAGATTTAGTTACATATGTAGCTATTTTAAGGGAACTATCTACAATGTGGTGTCTAGAGTCCTCTTAGAATAGATACATAAAACAATCTAACATAGCAATACAGAAAAGAGTTAAGAGCATAAAGAAGGAAGCTATTTTACTCATACGTTTTGAAACCATTACCTAAGAAAATTTCCTAATAAATCATTTTAATGGTGAGAAATGTTACCTGCCAGGAGATGTGGCGGTAGGGCTTGAATTTCCACCATGATGCTGGGAATACAACACACTGACATCTTGTGAGGCATGACTACTTCCTAAAATGAAATATTATGAAAAATTCTTGATATAAAATTTAATTTGAAATTTTGTCTTCCTCACTTCAAATCGCTCCAAAAAGGTGAATACAGTTTAAGAGAAAAAAATCTGCTCAACTGCTTTATGGTTTTACCTGAGTGCATATTATAAATGTATAATACCAGATATATAAAACAAAGGACTCCAAACAGGGTACTATCCAATGTATAAATATCCAATTTGGCCACAATATTCTGATCCCTGCACATAAGATGGGATACATGGAAAATTTCACCCTCATATGATCAACAATCATAATTTGTAAAGGTAAATTACAAAGCAGCCAGAAGCATGTTCAGAAAATAAACCTTGCCCCTTTCAGAGTACCCAAACCCAGTGCTCAGCAATATAGCTATGTTCTTTTCATGAACTCCAAATGACATTCTAAACTCAGTTTTAAAATTAGTTTTCAAAAATCCATATATCAATATGGATTATTACCCATTTGGGGCGATATATAAAGTGTGCTACTGACAAAACTTAAAAAAAGTAGTTTCATCCAGGCCAGGTGTGGTGGCTCATGCCTGTATTCCTAGCACTTTGAGAAGTTGAGGCCGGAGGAATGCTTGAGGCCCAGAGTTCAACACAGAAGTTCTGCCAACATAGCAGAGATCCTGTCTCTACCCCCTAAAAAGAGGTTCTTTTAAAGTGAATAAGTCCCAAACCAAAAAACATAGCAGCAAATAACTCCCCCCAACAACATCATTGAACAGTTAGTTACCTGATCTAAACTGAATTTTGATAGGCCTTCCAAAAAGTTTGATTCCATTAAGTAGATTCATTGCATAAGGAACAGATACTTCGTGTTTGAAGTTCACAAACGCAAACTGCTTTGGTTTACCATCCTTATCTTTTGGAATTTTCACCTTTATTACTGGTCCAGCCTACAACCAAAAAAGCGTTTGGAGTTTAAAGAAATCAATGTCAGGAAAAGACTCAAATTCTACAAGTAAGAGTCTACAAAGTTTAAAAACAAAAAAAAGTAATCAAAACCTTTTTTTAAAAATGATGCACATGGATTTCCCTGTGGGTTAGAGTAAAAAAAAAAAAAAATCCTAGTTATGAATCAAAATTAGATTCCCTTATTTGGGGAAGGGGCCCATGAGGAACAGGAAACAAGCACTTTTTACAATTCACAGCACTTTATGACTTTTTATGAACAGCCCTCATAGTCCCACCCCACGGAAATCCCCGTGTATCAAGAGCAAGGGAGAATGATCCCGAAGTAAAAATTCACTTTTGTATTGATTATGATTAATCAATCCAGCAACACCAGTTATCAGGGGATAGGGCTGTGGGAAATCGGACACTCAAGACGACTTCCCACCCATGTTCGAAAGCAGCACTAAGATCCCGCTCCTCTCCTGAGTGCTTAAGATTCTACTTTAAAGGTTTTAACAATACTGCCATTTCACAAGCAGCTTACGTGGAAACGAGATAGACGCGAATAAATGGAAACACAGTGTGCCGGTCAGATAAGCCCAAACCCGGTTATCTCAAGGGGAAGAGGAGGAAAGGAGGAATACGAAAAAGCCCTGCCCGACGAAGACCCCCCCTTCCACCCCCCCCCCCTCCGCACGAGGTCCCCGAGGATCCCCACGGGAATGCTTGGCTCAGGATCCTCCGCCACCTTCTCGGGTCGTCACTTTGGGCCTGAACCGAGCAGGATCACGCCAATCAAGCGACGACGCCCACGAGCGCCTCGCTCCCCCCGCGCAACCGTCACCCCCCGTAGCCCACCTGCCGGGGGCGCTCACCCACCGCCAAGAAAGAAAGCGGGGAGGGCCGCTGAGCCGGGCCCCGAGCGAGCCCGACAGCGAAAAGCCAGCTGGCCGGTCCCAGCCGCTCACCTGGTGGAAGAGCTCGAAAAGGATCTCCTCGGTCACCTTCGTCTCGAGGTTGCCCACAAACAGAGTCCGATCCGCTTCCGCCGCCGCCGCCCCCATCTCAGCGTCGCCCCCTCCCGAACCCGGCCGAAGGGT